GCCTAGGATGCCTACTTAAAGGATCCCATGAAGATTTTTTGCAGTTCACAGTGTGTGTCCTACGTAGTAAAACTTTCTGTAATAAAAATTATTTCATTTTGTGTTAGAAAATCTAAAACAAAAATCTACAGGAATGTGTGAAGAAAAGCCTTTATTATGCTCAAAGACATCACACCACACCCTAGTATGGCACGAGCGGAAGCAGAGCCAACGTTTGAATGGTTAGTAAAATCTATACTCCTCCCATTTGGGCTGGGACTGGAACAGCTCATTTGGGTTACACTCTTTCTGAACCACCCGTCCCATGTTACTCCTTATCATGTTCATCCCCTCCCGATAACATATGAAATGTGCCTAGTTCTGTGCTACTGCTCCCCTCTGCTCGGAGAAGTTAGTATTAATGAGTCTATTTCGCATTTGCATTCTAAGTAAAGCTTAACCTTTGTTCTACTTCTGGCCTCTTTCAAACAACCAGTTTCATCCATTTTCAGCCTGTTCTAGGACCTCTGACCTATAGCTACCTTTTCTCTCAATTTCCTTATATGGAAACAAAATTGTTTCTTACCTCTCACATAGAGGAAATATTCAATGTAAATTCTATTATCTACCTTTTCAGCTAATTATATTATCTTTGTTACTGAATGAAAGATAAATATTTTAGTTGCTTTGACACTTTCCTAGAATGTAACAAGAATACCAATGTTTTCAGCAGAAAGTATTCTAAAAACTAAAAAAAAAAACCCCCAAAATTATAGATTACTTCAAGTTTTTCCAGTCATGTCCCACCATCACTTTTAGATGATTAAAGAGATAAAAAATAAGATAAAGGAGTCAAAAAGATTTTAGTCTGGAAGTGTAATTCATTGGTCTTCAGTAGAAAGGAATTAGTCAAAGGATAATGCTAATCAGCTGTTTTCCAGCGACACTAACCAACAGAAATAAACTTAATTCCAGCAAAGGCGTTTGGCAATACTTTCAAGCTGCTATGTTGGCCAAAAAGAGGACTAAAAGAAGAACATGAGTAAATTTAGAGTCGGAACAACAACTGCTCCCTTGAAAATCAGACAGGTCCAAGACTTTTGCTAACATCTGGGATCTGGGAGTGGTATTGTAAGACAATCGAGAACCAGAAGCAGCCTTCAGTAAAAGCAGCCTGTGTTTGCATGAATGGGATATGGTAGAGCAATGGATGAGTTTCTCTGCATGACATGACAGATCAATACACAACAAATAAGCCAATAGCAGCTAGGGATTTTAGTACTCCAAAAACCAATAATTTCTTCAGTCTGGGTCCTCTGTCCATTAGTGCTGACTACACCCTTGGAAGGCAGCATAGGGAAAGAGAACATGATTTTTAAACAAAGAACACAGGTTCAAATAGTGGGTCTTAGACTACTGAGCCACTGCTCCTTCATTTATAAAGTAAAGGGACTGGACTAAATGACTTCTTTCAAAGTACCTTCTAGTTCTCCCACTATGGTCCTATAGATTGAGGACTCCCTGCATCCTGGTGGATCATTTCATAAACTGAGGAAGTTGAAAAAAAAAAACCAAAAACCAAAACCTCACCTATTGATTAGCATCTCTGCACTTACCTGTGTTAGAACTTAGACAAAAGACATTAACTGTATCATTGGCCTTTCTCAGTCTTTCTGAACTTGGCATTACTTGTACTGTTCTGGCTCAACCTTAAAAAACCAAGATCATACTTCCACACTACAAGACATCAGAGCAGCAATTTAGGGTATAATTGGGTATAATAATTCTTATAATTAGGGCAATATAAACACTGGCAGGGCATAAGTTATTGGGATGTGAAATCTCTCTCTAAAGACATTTAAAAGGGAAGCAAACAGCCATCTGTCCTGGATATTGTTACTCCAAAGAAAAAGGACTGGCCAATTTGACCTCAAAGTATCTTAAATATATGGCTTTATGATAATGTCAAACAAATATTCAAAAGTTCTTGACTATGTGCCTCACTAATTAATGACAGGGGATGCTGCCAAGATACCATACCTACTTCAACCCAAAGTTTAAGATTACAGAGGTCAAGTCAACAAGCATTTATTGTAAGCCCTTAAAAGTGACAGGTACTGTGCTTGCAAATCCAAACAGAAAGAAACAAAGTCCCTGCCCTCAAGGTGCTTATATTTTAGAGGCTAAGATGTCCAGTGCTGAGTTCATGGTAACATTACTGAGACTCCATGTATGGAGCATGTGAAGACAATGCTAAATGAGGTACTTGTATACTGATTCTGAGTTCCCTGTATTTAGACTTCCTAGGTCCTATAAATGCATAGTTCACAACTATCACTCAAGTTCACAGTGCTGGAGTCATCCATGACTCTATTCTCCCTTACCCCAGGTAGAAATCAATTGCCTGGGGCAGTTAGGTGGTGCAGTGGATAGAACACCAGCCCTGGAGTCAGGAGGACCTGAGTTAAAATCCAGCCTCAGACACCTAACACTCACTAGCAGTGTAACTCTGGGCAAGTCACTTAACCCCAATTGCCTCACACACACAAAAAAATCAATTGTCAAGTCTTTTTTACTTCTACCTCCACAACAGATCTTGCATCTGTCCCCTTTTCTCCAGAGGCCACTTTATTTCAAGCATTTGTCATTTCTTGCCTGTTGTTCAGTTGTGTCTGACTGTTTATGACCCCATATAGGCTTGTATTTTTTTGTTTTGTTTTGTTTTATTTTTTTGCAAAGATACTGGAGTGGTTTGTCATTTCCTTCTCCAGTGGATTAAAGCAGAGGTTAAATGACTTGCCCAGGGTCACATTGCTAGTGAGTGTCTAAGCTGGATTTGAACTCTTTTAACTCTAGACCCAGTGCTCTATCCACTGAGCCACCCAGCTGCCTCAGTAAGCATTAAATCAGTCCTTGGCACAAAGAGGATTTCCTAGTACTGTTTCTGGCCCACTAAAACATGTGTCTCAATGACAGGAAATCCCAACATCTTCATGTCTCTCATATAGCTGCAGCTCAATACTCTTCTAGTCTATTTCAATAGCCTCCTAACTGGTGTCCTTGCCTCAGGTCTCTCCCTTCTCCAATCCATTCTTTATTCATGCCAAAATGACATCTATTCCTAAAGCACAGGTCTGACATCTCTGTCTCCTAAGTCTGAAATGTGCTCCCTTTTCTCTTCCAGAAAACTGAGTGTCCTTCAAAAATCTCCTCAAATACCACCTCCTATGGATCTTCTCCTGATCTGCTCCCCAACTACTAGCACTTCCCTCCTCCTAAGCTCTCAATTTCCTCATGGTGAACCCCTTTGGCAGCCTTTTGAAGCCTATGGACCACTTCTCAAGTAAAGAAGCATTTATTAAGTGCCTACTATGTGCTGAGGATAAGAAGAAAAAGCAAAAACAGTTCCTGTTCTCATGGAGCTCACAATCTAACAGTAATAAAACATGAAAACAAGTATGTATAAACAGGATAGATATGCAGATGGTTCAAAAAGTCTTAGTGTAGGGTTAAGCTGCTAAAGCTTAAAATTGCGCTATAAATTTTCAGACACAAAATAAATTGTAGTTAATCACCGAGGAAAGCACTAGCATTGTTGAGGTCTAGAGAGTTAGGGGTGCTGAGATCCCAAAATATCAAGAGCAAGATAAGCAGGTTCTTCTTGAAAGAATTCAACCCAAGCCTTCTTTCTGCCGAAGTCAAGCTTTATTAAAGATCCACCATATTGGTCAGACTCTTAAAGAATCTGAATATTTGTGAGCTATTGGCTAGATTGTAAAAATCTGAACACCTCGAAGGAGACATAGAGAAAGACTGTGGGAGGGATCTGGGAGTGGAGAATCTTGATGGGAGTGACTGGGAGGTAACAAGGAGTTTAGATAGGATCCTGGGTGAGAAAGGGCCACAGCCCATCTGCAGATAACAGCCAGTGGAGGGCTAGGCTAAGTTAAGGGTATAAGAACTGGGAGACCAGGCACAGCTGATAATGAAAGGCCAGTTGATAGGATTATAGGCTCAGGCCAACGCCAGACACTTCCTCGACCAAGTGGGAGAATTCAAGGAGAATCTGTAGACAAATGGCACCCAATTCCTTTTTGGGGTGAGGGCAAAGGTCTCGGCTTGGACCCAGACCCCATCAGCATTATTTTCTGAATGTTTGTTCCCTATATTCATAACGGAAGGCCATTTAAACTAAAGATTAATGAAAATAAAAATGAAAAAACGTCCTCCCATTGAAGTTCCCATTTACCTCAGATTAAGAACTAGGATCTAGGATCTAGAGGTTTCTTCTACCTCTCTTCTAGGACCTGCTGCCTTTCTTTCCTGTAGGTCTTCCTCTATACCTGAATTAAAAGCCTGTTCCTAATATTAACGATAGGAGCAATATCTAGAATTTATAGAGCTCAAAGGACTGGACAAAGTGCGATCTCACCAGATGCTTACAACCTGGTGAAGTACGTGAAACTGATGGTAACCTACAAAGAGTCTGAGGCAGCACTGGAACTCAGGTCTCTGTGACTCCAGGTGCAGCCCTCTGTCCCCAAAACCACCCCTAGCCTCCTCTTTTCTTCCAGGAGGTGATGCCACCTCCTCCACAAACCTTCCCTGTTTTCCTCTCCTGCTCACCCCGTCCCAGGCTCCTCATCACCTGCCGCATCAGGCCTGGCCCCTCTTGGACCGAGGCCTTTTTGTAAGGCGGCAAGGGGCCTATCTAGCTTCTCCCCTAGGGCCCCAGGGTCTGGAGTCTGGCGCTTCCCACTCCATCCCTTCCTAGCCTCCAGGCCTCCAGCGCTCCGGCCCTCCCCACGTGCGGAACCCCAGAGGCCCTTGGCCCCGCCCCTCCGGCCTTTCAGGCAAGCGCACGAGGGGGCGGGGCCCCAGCAACGCATGGCGTCATCACGTCTGCGGGGGGGGTTACCTCCTTTTTCCTTTTCCTTTTACTAACCTGTGCAGCTGCGGCTCGCGGCTTAGGAGGTCAGCTGGCTGCGGGTGTGGGTGGGTCTGGGAGAGGTGCCCCAGGCTGGGTACGCGTTGTGCCGCCGCCGCCGGACTCTGCGGAGCCGGGGCAGCGAGGCAGGCGGGCTCGGGAAGTTGAAGAAGCTCCAACTCGGAGAGAGACGGAGGACGGACGCTGCAGCCGCCAGGAAGCTGGTTCGTGGGGCCGGGGGGCTGCAGGTATTTGCGGGGCCGTTAGGAGCCCGCTGTCCATGGCTCGGGCGCTGGCAGCATCTGGGAGCGGCCCCGGGGCCGCCGCCCATCCCTGCGCAGTCACGGGTATGGAGCCAGTTTCGAACTAACCGACCCGGAGACCGCACCAACGCCCGCGCTGCGCCGGGCCGGCGGCCTCTGCTCAGCTTTGGCCGCCCGGACCGGCGAGCAGCGGGCGCTCCGTCTTGTTGACTGACAATGGACGTGGCTGTTTGTCGCCTCCTCGGCTTGAAAGGGAGCCCCTGAAAGCAGGGACTGTCCCCTGCACTTAGTGGCGCCACAGTAGGCGCTTAAAAATGCTTAATGACTATGCACATGATTATTTGCCTGATACCTCTCCCGTTTGAAGTGGAGCCCCTTGAGAGCAGGAACTATCCTCTGCACTTAATTGCCTGGCACAGAACAGGCTCTTAATTGACAGTACTTGATTGTGTATACCTGTTGTCTCCCTGTTCGAATAGGAGCCCCTTTAAAGCAGGGACTGTCCTTTGCACTTAGAGCCTGGCACAGAATAGGCGCTTAATAAATGGTTAATGACTATTAAGCTCACAGTCTAGTGGGGGAGATAGCATGCAAATAACTTATGTACAAACAAGCTATATACAGGATAAATTGGAAATAGAGAGAAATCACTGATAATTAAAAAGGATTAGGAAAGGCTTCCCGTAGAATTTCTGTGGGATTTTGCCAGGGATTTGAAGGACGCCAGAAGACAGAAATATGTATAGTTTAAATGACTGGTAATTTCAGAGGTAATGCAGGAGCAAGGGAGAGGGGAGAGAGGAAAAGGCTTCCTGCAGAAGATGGGATTTGAGCTGAATCTTGTACTCTGGTGTGTCTCTCAGTCAACAGCATTAAGTGGTTACTATGTGCCAGGCCACTAATACAGACCAAGAATACAAAGAAAGGCAAAAATGGCTTCAAGGAGCTCAGGTTCTAATGGGAGAGATAACAGCAACTGTGTACATACAAGATATATACAGTACATGGACATACACAAGGCAAGTAATTTCAGAGGGAAATGGGCCTGGGGAAAGGCATAGACAAGTTACATTTGAGCCCAGTCTTGAAGACTTCTGGCACGATCCTCAATAAGCATATAATAAGCCAGACAGTGGGCCAAGTGCCAAGAATACAAAGGAAATGCAAAATAAAAAACCTGATCCTTTCACTCCCAGAGCTCACATCCTAATGGGGGAAACAATGCAAATTATATATGTGTGTGTATGTATGTATGTGTGTGTGTATATATATACACATACTAGATAAATAAAGTAAATTGATTTGATGGGAACTGATGGTAGCTTTCTTTAGCAGTTCATTTCACTTGAAGGTCTTTCTTGATCTTCCACTTGCACTCTGTTGATCATGTTATGTTGACTGACTTTCTCTGTCTCTCTCTCCCTCTCCCCACACACACATACATATATATGTTATATGAATTCAGCTTTATGTTGACTATATGTTGTATGCAAGATCAGTTCTATATTGACTGTATATGTGGTATACGAGTTCAGCTTTTGGAATTCGTAGCTGTGAATTGGAAACAGGCTCTGTTTCCAAATCAGTCTTTCTCTTGCCTTCTAAGGGTGTTTCAGAGCCACTGAAAAGAGGACCTAGACTGATGAAATTACAGATTCTTAAAGTACTCAAATATCTGCAATTCTTGGAAGCTTGTAGATAATGTTTATTTTGCAGGTTGCTAGAGACATTGGTAGTGAACTTCAGGGCCAGGAAAACCTAGGTACAAGTCTCACGTCTAACTAACCCATGTGACCCTGGGCAATTCATCTTACTCTCAGTTCGCTATACAACTCTCCTAAGACTGTCCCTGACCTGTATTTGTCCTTGTCCCTGACTGTATTTGCATATACTTTTGTGTGTATGTTTTGTTTTCATCTCCCAGGACTTTGTAGGGCATATGGTGCATGGGAATTGAATTGAAAGTTTCTTCACCTGAATTGAGAGGCTTTATAACATTCAGCAACCAGTAAGTTCCTACTATATTCCAGACACTGTGCTAACACTGAGAATATAGATACAAACAATGAAACAATTCCTCCCCTCAAGTAGTTTACTTTCTATCCATGTAGATAACATGTACACGTAAGTATATTTTGAACAAATACAACTTGGGGCAGGAGCTAGCAGAGGGATCAGGAAAGACTTCATTTAGAAGGTGATGTTTGGGCTGTGTCTTGAAGAGAGGATTCCGTGAAGCAAAGTGAGGAGGAAATCCATGTCAAGCAGGAATCCATGCCAAACACTGAAAGACAGCAGCAGGTGTGTCTTTTATGAAAAACTGAGAGAAAGGCCAGTTTGGCTGGACTGTAGAATATGATAAGGAGGCTAGAAAGATAGGTCCCTGCCAGGTTGTGAAGGCTTTTAAAAACCAAGTGATGGAGACCTTTCAAAAATTGAAATAGTTGAATAGTAATGGATAAGTAAGTGTCAATAGCAGTTTAATCCATTGCTAATATGATTTATATTTACTAGTACCTTATATTCACTCAATAAACATTTAAGCACCTACATGCAAAGCACTTTAGAAGTCACTGGAGATTCTAAGACAAAATAGTGATCCTGCCTTAATGGATATTACATTAATAAAATAGCTAGGAAAAGGAAAATGGTGTTTATGGAATTGCTTTGAAACGTTAAGATTAACTTCCTATTTTGGTTATTCATATTTCAGATGTTCTAAACCAGACCTGCAGAACTTGGCAGTAGGTAGAGGCCAAAATTAAAATAGGCTAAACTTCTTCAGACTGCAGACAGGTTAGGCTATCGACAGACTGGTGATGGTTGGTTGCCACAGGTCCCGTGGCAAAGACGGGAGAGTGCACAGTGGCAACCCTACATTTTTCACCAGCCACAAGCTGCAGGCAGTATGTTGTGTGGGCCTGTTCTAAACCATTAGAGTTTTCCTATGGTCAGATTTAGAATGATTTTTTCTTTGTATTCTTGCATGTCTCTGTTTACAGGCCTGCCTCACATTATCTGATGTGAGTGAAACCTGGCCCAAGAAGCAGAATTCCTTTATTGCCTTGGTAAGTGTCATATAATAAATGTTTGAATAATGCATTCTTCTTCTGATTTAATAATATTATGGAGTTGACTGAATGGGAGATGAAATCTGGTAGATGAAAAAGTGATAAAATGCTGTGGTATTATTCAGTCATGTTCGACTTTTTGTGACCAATAGTGTACCAGTGCTGTCTATGGAATTTTCTTGGCAAAGAACTGGAGTGGTTTGCCTTTTCTCAAGTGAATTAAGGCAAACAGAGGTTGTGACTTGCCCAGGGTGACACAGCTTGTATTTGATTTGAACTCCAGTATTCCTGACTCTAGGCCCAGGATTCTATCAACTGAGCCACCTACCTGCTTCTGTAAAGTGCATTAGTACTATTTTAAATTGTTCAGTGTTACCTGTAAATCATTTCTACTTAAAAATTCAGTGTTAAAAATTAAAATGGTTTCTATAAGCTATTTATCATGGCGGATGTTTATTCAGGGTTGTGAAGTTAGCCCACAGAGCTTTTCTTTTTTTGGAGTGGTCTATTTCTAGGAAATATTGACTTCTCCAAGAGATACCTTGCTTGTATGCAAGATTTATTGAGGGTAAATTGCTTTGATAAGCACCAGTGGTAGCTTCCTTTACCCATTCATTTCAATTGCTACTTCCTGTAGTAGATCTTTCCTGATTCCCATACCCTGTTGATGATGTTCCAAATTACTTTGTGCCAAATCTACATATTTTGTTCACAAATTCTACTTTGTAGCTTGAAGCTGAACAAATCAAGCAATCTTTCCTGTACCTTAAATGCAACATGACCAAAAGTGAACTAATTATCTTTTCCTCCAACTTTCTTCTTAACTTCAGTCTTACTGTCTAAGGTACCACTGTTATCCCAGTCACCCATGCTTTAGACTTAGGTTTCATTTTCAACTCTTTAGTCTCACCCGTCTATCCAATCTCTTGCCAAGACTTGTAGATTTTACTTTGGTAATAACACTGGTAGACACCCTCTTCTTTATTTTGATACTGCCAACATGATGTAGGCCCTCATGACCTCATGTCCAAATTATTTCAGTAGCCTTTGGGATTGGTCTGCCTGTCTTAAGTCTGTTCAAAGTAATCTTAGAGTGTAGGTCTGACCATGACATCCCCCTAATCCCCTAATCAGTAAACTCCAGTGACTCCCTATCACTTTTAGGAGCAGAGAGATCGTGTGTTTGGCATTCAAAATGTTTCATAACCTCCCTTCCCTTCCCCCCTACTTTTCTAGTCTTCTTACACTTTGCTTCCCCCACCTACTCTATGATCCAGTGACACTGGCCTCTTTGCTGTGGTACAAGACACTTCATCTCCTGACTCTACATATTTTCACTGCTGTCCTCGTGTCTTGAATTCTCTCCCTTCTCATTTCTGCCTCCTGGCAGAAGTCAAGTCTCAACTAAAATCCCAACTTCTGCAAGAAGCCTTTCCCAGCCCCCCTAATTCTGGTGCTTTCTTTCTGTTGATCATTTCCAGTTTATCCTGTATATAACTTGTTTGTATGTAGTTATTTGCATGTTTTCTTCCCCCAATAGATTTTTAGCTCCTCCAGAGCAGGGACTGTCTTTTGCCTTCCTTTGTGTCCCCAGCACTTAGCTCCATGCCTAATTGTTGTTGTTCAGTCATTTTCATTTGCTTCAGTCACTTTTGACCCCATTTGGGGTTTTCTTGGTGGATATACTGGAATGGATTATCATTTCTTCCTCCAGCTCATTTTATAGAAGAAGAAACTGAGGCAGAGAGGGTGAAGTGACTTGCCCCAGATCACACACACCTAGTGTCTGAGGCCTTACCACCTAGCTGGCGCATAGTAGTAAATACTATGTAAAAGCATTAACATTAAACATTAACATAGTAAAACCATTAACAATTGTTTGTTGATTGATTCTTCTCCCCTTATCACTACTGAGATTTTCCTTATAGCAAGTAATCTTTTAGATTTGTGAGGGTGAAAGTTGCAGCTTCCTTATTTATGACAAGCCATTTTAAAAAAAATTTTCTGATGCATAATGTTACATTGATATTAAGCTGACCTGAGTCAGCTTTTTCACCTGAGAGGCAGTATAGTGGTATAGAGCCCAGGACTTAGAGCCAGAGAGTGAGCATGTGCAGTTCCATGCAATTACATTACCTTAACATAGAGGTTATACTACTTGTAATAATTACCTCACAGGGTTAGTGTGAGAAAATTGTCCTAAACCTTTACTTTTATGTGGCACAGATTTCTGTTAAGTGCACTGAAGAATAATTTGAAAACATCATATGAAAAAGGCAACTTTTTTTTACTAGTAAAATAGATCACATTTATATGATGATGCCTAATTTTGTAAATTTCACATAAATATTGATTAAATTCCTCTTAGGACATTGTTAGACCCTGAAGAAAATGCAAAGTTTAGATAAAAGTTTCTGCTTTTATGGAGCTTATATGTAGTTGGGGCATAAGTCACATTATGGATAACTACAATTCATAGTTGTGATAAGTAGATGAAAAGTTTTCGAAACAGTGTAAGGTGAGGCATAAGGGATAATAGATCTTTGCCATCCAATGAAAAGATTTGAATTGGATAGGATTTCAACAAGTGAAGTGGGTGGGTAATGTTCTCAGCACAGGAAACAGCAAAGGCATAGAGGCACAAGTATATATGATATGTTTGATAGAAAGCAGTACAGTTTGACTGTATGTAGAGTATGTGGAAGGGAATAATGTGAGATAAGGCTGGAAAAATTGGGTAGTACTAGATGATGAAGGGCCTTGAATTATAGGCAGAGGAATTTGAACTTTCACTCAACAGGCAAGCCAATGAAGATTTTTAAATTATTGAGTAGCATGACTATATCTTAATATAGGAGATTATTTCAGTAGGTGTGGATTGTGGAAACAGTGGAGGCAGAAAAACTTATTAGGATCCTATTACAATTGTCAAGGCAGGTAAGTGAGGAGGAATAGTATTAAGGTCAGCAATAGCAATTGAGAGGAAGGGATGGGTGTGAGTTATATTGCACAAATGTAATGGATCGGACTTGGTAACTAGAGATGAGTAACAGGGAAAAGTGAAAGATAATCCAATGTTTTAAATATGGGAGGTAAGTAAACCATATGGTGTAGTAGAAAGAGCCTAAACTTGGTAACCAAAGACCTGGACTTGTAGAGCTCTGGCTCTCTCACTTAAGTGTGAGTACTTGGGCATGTCGATTCTAACTCATCTTCCTCTAAATTTATGATCCCTTTCTGGGCCTCAGCTTAATCATCTGTAAAATAAGAGGGTATACTAGATGATCCTGTCTGGAACCAAGTTTCTAATGCAAACATTTTGAGATTTTGGGTGAATTCTCTCTATTGTAGTATTGTCGTGGTTTCGTGGTTTGTTGTAGGGGTCATCTTGAATGAATTCTGAGTCAGACCATCTCTAATCCACGTATTACATTTATTGGAATAAGGCCTCCAACAGGCTGAGTTCCAAGAAGAACCAGCAACTTAGTAAGACAACACAGGCAAATTTATAGTATAATGATGCTGATTACACCACAGAAATTATGAATATTAAAAGGTAGGACGGGTTTGTTAAGGGATTAGGTAATGGGGAAGGGTCTCAGCCTTGGTGGAATTGCACATTCAGTTACCCACGATGCATACAGAAAACCTCAAGGAGGGGATTTATGTATGATAATGATATTATAATAAGCCTCTCTACATCATAAGTTAAGGTCAGTTCTTTATTATTACTGCACAGATGCCTACTTAGGGAAAGTCCCTTCTGTGGTTCAGCGTTCAAACATCCTGGTTGCGCCACTTTCTGATTGGCTAGCTATTGTGGTACTGTCTGGTCAAGATGGATAGTTAGGTGTTGTGGTCCTGTCTTGGGCTATGTGGATGATGTCCTCGTGGTTGAGTACATGGACACACCTGTTTAAACATGAGAATTGGATCTGGGCACAGAGGCTAGCTAAAGACAGTGGCTGTATTGAGTCTGGGGGCTTGTGGTGTGGTTAAAGCCAGATTGTGTGGTTAAATCAGGGCATGCCTGTTGTTCAGTGAGGCCCGTAAGAAAGTTAGAATGTTGGAGCTGGGGGCAGCTTTATTAGGATTGCATCAGTATCAGTTATGATATTAGAAGGAAGAGCAAGGTTGAAATAGAGGTAAGATTGGTTTTTGGAAATACTTATTTTGAGGTACCAATGGGAGGTTCAGGTAGAGATGTCCTGTATGCAACTTAGAAAAAACATGATTTTTTTTTTTTGTTTGGTAGATTCTGTTCTAGAATTCAAAAGGGAGGGTCAAGAATGGAGAGAGATTTGACAGTCTTCTACATGAAGGTGGCAGTTAAGGTCAAAGGACTGAATCTGATTGTCGAGGGATAGAGTATAGAGAATGAAGAGCACCAAGAAAAGATCCTAGAATTAAGGATTTGAGAGGATGATGAAGACCAGTAAGAAAGATAAAAATCTAAGTGGAAACCATCATTATTCCCATTTTATAGATGAGGAAACTCAGGTTCAGCAAAGTTAAAGAACTTCCCTATGGGTAACACAGTAAATGGTGGTTTTAGCACATTTACTAAACATTACATTTAGCTTCTGTTTTTATTTGCTTAATTTTATTTCCCTCTGAGGCTACAGCTGAGGGTCAAAGTCCACCCCCCATAGAGCAGCCTATCCCTGATTTTTGTCAGTGCTACTTTTTCTTTTACTTACCAATTTTGATGTTTTTAGAAGTTTTAGTATGCACATATAGCTAGTAGATTAACCCCTTTTCTACTACTAACTTCTAGCATTGGCGTTGTTCTAAATTCCATTTGACATGAAAGTAATTGTTATGGGTATACAAACAGAAAAATGAACCAATCCCTACTCTCAAAAAACTTAAATTCTATGGGGTGGGGGTGGGGGGAAGAGGGGTTGCCCCGTGGACACAGATAAATATAATTTGAGGAAGAAGATTGTACTAACAGGAATATCAGGAAAGGTTTGGAACTGGAGGTATTACTTGAAGGAAGGTAAGGATTCTTAGAGGCAGAGATAAGAAAGAAATACACTCTAGGTATAGATGAATGCCTTGTTCATATCAATCAATAAACATTTAGCACCTACTTTGTTCCAGGCACTGTGCTAAGTACTAGGAATACAAAGACAAAAGATAGTCCTTTCTCACAAGAAGCTTATCATCCAAAAGAAGAGACCACATGTAGACAAATATACCCTATATACAGGGTAAATAGGAAGTAATTAACAGAAGGACTGCACTAGAATTAAGGGAAGATTGAGGAAGACTTCTAGGAAAGGGTAGAATTTTAGTTGGGACTTAAAGGAAGCCAGAGAAGTTAGTAGATGGAGCTGAGGGGGTGAATGTTCCAGGCATGGGGGAAAGACAGAGAAAATGTCCAGAGAGATGCCCACTGAACATAAATGGAGTGGCTTGTTCGTTGAACGTGGTGGAGAGTGAGGCATAAGAAGACTGGAAAGGTAGAGGGCTAGCTTATGAAGGGATATGAATGCCAATCAGAAGATTTTGATTTGATTCTGGAGGCAGTTAGGGAGCCACTGAAGTTTATTGGGTGGGGGATAGAAGGGTGACATGGTCAGGCCTGAGCTTTAAAAAAAATAACATGAGTGGCAGAATAGAGGATAGACTGGAATGGGGAGAGAGAGATTTGAGGCAGGCAGACCCACCAGCAGGCTTTTACAATAGTCCAGGCATAAGGTAATAAGGGTCTTGCACCTGGGTGGTGGTGGTATTAGAGGAGACAAGAGGATAGATTTGAGAGATGTTGCACAGGTAAAATCGACAAGCCTTCGGCACATATTGTATGTAGGAGGTGAGTGATAGTGAGAAGTGGAGGATGACAACTAGGTTGACAACTGGGAGGAAAGTGTCGCCCTCTACAGAAGCAGGGAAGGTGGAGGGAAAGATAATGAGTTCAGTTTTGGAATGTTGAGTTTAAGATGGCCACTGAACATCCAGTTTGAGATGTCTGAAAGGCAGTTGGAGGTGTGAGACTAGAGGTCAGCAGAGATGTTGGGGCAGGATAGATAGAGAATCATCAGCATAGAAATGATGATGGCTCCAAGGGAGCCAGTGAGACCACCAAGTAAAGTTGTATGGAGGAAGAAGAGAAGAGGGCCCAGGACAGAACCCTGAGGGACACCTATGGTAAGAGGGGCTTGATGTAAAGGAGGAGCCAACAAAGGAAACGGAGAAGGAGCTAACCAGGAGAGGGTAGTGTCTGGAAAAATAGAAGAGATTTCGAATTTAACAAAGAAGGAAATACGTGATTAAAAGATATTACCAAAAAAATGTATGGTTAAAAAAAAAAAGGGCAGGTCATAGTGGTAAGTGAAGAACAAATTAATCTTTTTTTCAAATTTTAGACTTAAATACTAAAACTTAAGCAATGAGAAAAGAAAAAGAAACATAAAATTAAATATTAAAACTTAAATACAAAATAAGGAAAATAAACATATCATGTGCACAGCAGAATGTGAGAGGATTCAAAATACATAGCAATAAATTTCCATTTCAAGAAAGCCTATGTAATAAATACTATGCCTTATGTTGAGAGCTATCTATCTTTGCTTCCTTGTAAGTTTTCTTTTGTTCTCTGCTGTGCACTTTTTACTTTGTTCTTTTTTCCCTCATCTTCCCCATCCCCTCTACAATGAAGTGTGGAGATATATTTAGCTATAAAGATATATACACATACATATATACATACATATATATATATAAAGATATACTTTCCCTAACAAATTCTACTCCTGATCTTTGTTTTGTGTTTGTGTATATCTCTTATTTCTTATCCCTCCTGACTCCTCTATGTCACTTCTACCTGCTACCTTGCCCCCCTGTTACTTAACCTATTCTACCTCCCAGGATCTTTCCCTTATCCTCCCATTCCCATAGATCTATAACCCCATTTGTCCTATTCCTCACCCTCCCCTCTAAAGATCCTTCCCTTATCCTCCTAGGGAGTCCTTCCTTATCCTCTCCCACATCCCTATCCCCTTAGCATTTTATTTCTTTCTGAATTTAGAAGACGTTTATATTACTCTAGATACATACGTATTGTTCCCTCTTTCATCCCGTTCCTGATGAAAGTAGATTTCCAGAACCAACAGCCCTGCTCCTCCATCTAGTTCCTGTGTCAGTCCTTCTCTTGCACCTCGTTTGTATAAGATAATTACTCATTTTAACTGTTCCTAAATAGTTTTACTTTTTAAAGTCATATCGTACTCAGGTCTACCCCAGTCTTTCTTATAAACTACCTAATTACTAATAATAGTCTTAGACATGTTTTACATTTTGCATAGATAAAAAGTAAACAGTCTGTCCTTATTGAGTGCCTTGTAATTAGTCTTTGGTATGTACCTTATCTTTCTCTTGGCTCTTTTAAGTCATATCTTCTAATTAAGTTCAGGTTTTTTTTTTTTTTTTTTTTAAATCAAAGTCCTGAAAGTCTGACAATTCATTAAATGTCCTTTTTTTTTTTTTTTTTTTTTTTGGTCATTCAGGATTATGCTTAACCTTGCTGGGTATGATATTTTCTGCTGCAACCCCAGTTCTTTTGATCTTTGATATATAGTGTTCCAAGACCTGTGGTCTTTTAGTGGCGCCACTGCTAGGTCTTTGGTGATTCCAACTGTGGCACTGCCATATTAAAAAAATTTTTTTTCTTGTTGCTTGTAATATTTTATCCTTGAGCTGAGGGTTTCATATAATTTGACTGTATTCCTGTAGGTTTTCCTCTTGGGATCTCTTTCAAGTGGTGATTGGCGGATTTTTTCTGTTTCTATTCTCCCCTCTTATTCTAAAGCTTCAGGACATTATTCTTTTAATTAATTTATTTTGAATTATCAACAATCACTTCCATAAGCTTTTCAGTTTTAAATTTTTCTCCATCTCCCTCCCCAAGACAGTGTGCAATCTGATATAGGCTATACATATACATTCCTATGAAACATATTTTCACATTAGTGATGTTGTAAGTAAGAATTAGAACCAAAAGGAGGAACCACCAGAAAGAGGAAACAAAACACAACAGAAGAAAAAAAATAGCAAATGGTATGCTTTGGTCTGCATTCAAACTCCATAGTTCTTTCTTTGGATGTGGATAGCATTTTCTATCATGAGACCTTTGGAGATGTCTTAGATCCTTGTATTGCTGAGAAGGGTTAAGTCTATCAATATTAGTCATCGCACAACCAATCCAACCAAAACCAAGAACTCTACCCTCTTGTAAGTGTCCACAGCCATCAGCTCTCATTTTATTTTATAATTCAATTCCAAAGTTTCTTATCAGGCAAGTAAAAAATAATTCCCTTTTATCCCTTACAGCACATTTTGGATTCCCTGAGAGAAAGTTGGACTGTTAGGGTCTACCAGCGAGTACACTCCAGGGCTTTTATTTTTAAATAACCTCCCCCTTTGTTGTGGGGACATGGTCTACATCCTAAGCTGCTGAGTGACTGGGAATACATCTTTTGTCTTCTGCACTGGACAGACTGGACAAGCTTGGTGTCTTGGTGATCATTTCCAGAGACTTTTGAAGTTCTTGTTCCCTGTAATGTAATCCTCAGTGATGAAGGTGAATTGGCAGCTGTAAAACTTGAGTTTTATTTCAGCATATCTGATGCGAAGCACTGGATTCTTTAAAATGTCTTCTGCCAGTAGCAAAGAATGGCAGAAGCCCAATCCTTAAGGATACATTTTGCTGGAATGAATGAATGAAAAACTATTTATAAAGCACTTACTACATGCTAGGTGCTGTGCTAAGCACTGGGAATACAAATAACAAAATGACATGGTCCTTGTCCTCAAGGAACTTAGCATTTGTTTGGTTGTGGCAGGTGAAAGATGAAATGACTGAGAGAACAAAGGTTTGAGTTTTCAGTCTTATCAATTTATTAAGCAATGCATGCCAGTGCATAACAAAATCAGGACCAGGTCTCCTTAGCTTTGGCACTGGACCCCAAATACAAGGGGAGACAGATTTTTCTGCATTAAAAACAATAAATCTAATAAGAACAATTTATTAAAAGAAAACAGTTAAGCAGGATACAAAATTAGGTAATCTGATTCCTAATTGGAAGAAAGATTAGGGGCTTTCTGAGGTGGGAGGGGGAGAACTAACAGGTGCAATTTGCTCATATCAGAAAAAGAGGTGTCCCACTCCCCTCAACTATCTGTATTCAGAGGAACATGGAATCAACAACTGATTGACCAGAATGGGGCCAGTTTTCACGTAAGGCATATGGGTTACTTGAGATGTATAATTATGAGAAAACTCTTTGCATCAATTTTCAGATCTGACTGGGTGTCTTGTCAGCATAACCTATGTCCTTAGCTAAGGGTCTCTCAGCGGCAAGTAGAGGTGATCCAGTTTCCCCCACACAAGACTGGGTTCAAACAGTGCAATGAAGTTTTTTCTCACAATTCCCATAATTAAACAGTTTTCTGGCAAGAAATTGGAGTAGACTCATAATTGAATAGAATAGGAATTGAGCGAGATCCCAAATTGAGTCGCAAGATGAAGTTAGTGTGGTTCCCTGAGTTCCCACAGGGAAGAAGATGCATGCATATAGGGGAGTGGTGACCAGGGAAGGAAATTTTTGGTCAATAGAATCAGAAGGATGATGAGTTGATCCAGAGGGCATTTGATTGACATGCCTTTTCCAGAAGATAACGTTAATATACTTTTAGTTAAGCTGTAAAATAGACCAACAGTTCCTGAAAATTGACATACCAGAAATATAAAATAAAAAAAAGTAATATAAATAAAATTTATTGCTATATATTAATATAAATAAAATAAAATAAAATATAAAACACCATAAAAATAAACTGTTTGTCCTCCTTGACCCAGAGAGAAGGAAGGTCATTCTAGGCATGAGGGACAGCCACTGCAAAGGTCCAGAGATGGAAGATAGCATACCATGTGTGAGGAAGAGAGAGAAGCCAGTTTGACCAGATCATAGAGTCTTAGAAGGAGAGTCATGTACAGTGAAACTGAAAAGATATATTGGAGCCAAATTGTAAAGGGCTTTAAAAGTCATCAGAGAATTTTTTTTCTTTAATCTTAGAGGCAGCAGGGAGTCACTGTAGCTTGTATAGAGGAGTAACATGGTCATATCTGTGCTTAAGGAAGATCACTTGGTTAGTTGTGTGGAAGAATGATTGGAGAAGGGGATTGACTTGAGTTACGGAGACCTATTAGGAGCCCATTACAATTATCCAGGATAGAGGCAGTAATGGCCGAAATGATACCTTTCCTGTTCACCATTTGAAGATGATGGCATATTTAGATGTCCAAGAAGTCACAAAAATTTGAATTAGTATATGGCATTATTATGGTGGGGTTTGATTTTTAGACTCCAGGTAATATGCAGTATAATTTAGTGAGAGGTTATTTAACTGTAAGCAAAGATTTACTATTTCTTTTAAACTTTATAACATGTTTTAGTAGATGTTTTTACCAGTGTTAATGATATCTTTTTCTGTTTAGCACATGTATAAGGATGCATTAAGAAAAGAACCATGGATAAATACTGTAAACTCCAAAAGATTGGGGAAGGATCCTTTGGAAAAGCCATTCTTGTTAAATCTAGGGAAGATTACAAACAATATGTTATTAAGGAAATTAACATCTCAAGGGTAAGTCAATTTTCATTCTCTTTTTGGCACTGTTTTTTCATTTCCTATTAGTGTGTATTTTAAATCTGATTTTCTTTTTCAGATGTCCAGTAAAGAAAGAGAAGAATCAAGGAGAGAAGTTGAAGTGTTGGCAAACATGAAGCATCCAAATATTGTCCTATATAGGGAATCATTTGAAGGTCAGATAAAATTTGCAAAAGAGTACACAAGAACTCATCAACTAAATGATGGTCTCTGTGTAATTTAGTTATGACTATACCTTCATTACTCTGGGGCAATAATGCATATCATTGCAATGTCAGTATTATATGGAGCCTGGTGGCTGGGTTGATTCTTTGATACCATCCATATCCCCACTTAGTTCATACTGCATGAGGACTGTGTTGGTAATCTGTGGAAGGAATAGCATGCTGATGAAAATAAACTATTCACTCAAATTGTTCTTAGCCCTTTAAGTCCTGTTAAGCATCACCTCTGAGGGATAGCTCTGAGCCTCTGGAAAAAAGTTGAGAGACCTATCCACTCATTGGTATCCTTACATCTGAAATTATAAGATTTAACTACACTGAGTATCTTCTTGATGGGGTTTAAAATGCTGTAGAGATAGTATTAGAAAAATTTGGGCCAGAGATTGTGGAATCTCTTTTCTGCATATCTTAATAAGAGTCTAGATAACCTTGTATTAATAATAAATTTAAAAAAAAACTTGACAGATACTATATAGGATAGAAAAAACAAGTAAGCAGAAAAAGCAGTTGATGTCAAAAGAATATTAAAGAGCCAGGAATGCCCAACAAACAAACCTAGAAGAAGAGAATGATTCCACATTGTACATAATCAAAGAAAATCACCATTTTATTTTATTCTGAGCCTAACCCATACTCCCTCCCCCACACACACAGAGCATTAGTATGTACAGAGCAGAACACAAGAGAATTGTATTTGAAAGCACTGATATCCATTCCATACTTCTTGCTTTTTTAAAAGCAGAATAAATTGAATGTTATTTTCAAAACTTTAATTACTTGTGTATGATTCCTTCTGAATTTCTTTCTGTTGACTTCTGTGCATTTAAAAAATAGTTTCAATGTCCCTCTTTATTCTTTCTTTTTTCTGCACTACTATTGATTCCTGCAACTGATCCCCACCTGACAAACCAGTAACAGTCATAATTAAGCAAAGTTGTTGTTCAGTCTTTTTTCAGTCATGTCCAATTCTACATGACCCCATTTGGGGTTTTTTTTGCAGAGATACTGGAGTGATTTGCCATTTCCTTCTCTAGCTCATTTTATAGTTGAAGAAACTGAAGCGCACAAGCTTAAGTGACTTGCCCAGGGTAACACAGTAAGTGTCTGAGTTTGGATTTGAACTTAGGAAGATGAGTCTTCCTGACTTCAGACCTAGCACTCTGTCCACTGCACCACCTAGCTGCCCTAATCAACCAAAACCAATCCACAAAGTGTCTCTCTTGAGGCTATCACTTCTATGACAGGAGGTGGATAATATGTTCCATCATTAGTATGCTGAGATGGAGTTGATCATTACCTCGATCAGAGTTCTTAAGCCGTTTTTATTTTTAGTGTTGTTGGCATATAAATTGTTCTGGTTCTTTTCACTTCACTCTGCATCAGTTTGTACAATTTTCTCTGGGTTCTCTGAATGTCTCATGTAATTTCTTATTTCCTAACAATATTTCTTTTCATTCATACATTATAATTTGTTCAGTCATTCCTCAATTCATGGGCACCATCTTAGTTTCCAGTTCCTAACTTTTCATTCCACCTCTACCATTTCCTGTTCTCTCCTTACCATTCTCAGTCAAGAAATTTGTTTTGCTTGCAACTCTTTGCTCATGCTTGTATTATGCTCCCTCTTAACTCCCCTACTCTCCTTCTATCTCCTCTGTTTCCTGTTTGAGGAATTGGACATCAATTTTTTCCTTCGAGTCTCTGCTTTCAGTTGTTAAGTAGTTTCTTTCCCCGAGGCTTTGAATGTCCTCGAATCTTTAATTATATTTTATAGTGTTCCATGTCTTCTTCCTTTTATTCATCTCTCCTGTCTTAATTGCTGAACTGGGGCTCTGTGCCAAGGCCAGGCTCTGCCCTTGCTCTATTTTGGGTGGTGTGATAGGCCCTACCTGGTCCATACCTGGATCATATGGGTTCCTACTTACCTCCACCTTTGGGATGTGTCTATACAAAGAGCTCTGGTAGGTTTGCTTGGATCTTTGAGATTCAAAGCACTGGTTCTTAGGGCCCTTTGTTGTGTCTCAGACAGAGTTCAAGGGACCTCTGAGCTCCTTAGTACTGGGCTGTCCCAGTCTAAGTACTGCTACATCCATACTGGATGTTATTACTCCTGTTTTGCTTTTGAGGTCCACTCTGTAGGTTTCTGACCGCCCTAGGGCTTTTTAGTGGGAGCACTCCACTCTTGCTTCCTCTGGATATAGAATCCTATAGGCTTCCAGTGTCACTGGCCCTGTTTTGATCATGACAGGAAACTTCTTATTTGCCTACACTGATGCTGGCTTTTGTGGTAGGCTTCCTTTCCTCTTGCCTGTGGGATTCTGGCTGGCTTTTTTTGTGTTTGAAGTCATGCTATGTAGTTATGTCTAATTGGATTTCTTAATCATTGTTGGGTCTTGGGCTCTTTTTAGATTTTTCCTGGAAGCAGTATGTGGGAGCTGAGCTAAGCTGAATTGAACTGAGCTGCCTGTTTCCATTTGATAACCATCTGGGCCCAAAACTGTATTTGATGACTTTTTGAAATTCTGACCTGTATCATATATAGGATATTCATAATATCTCTTATAAAATAAGAGGAGATCTAGATTGTGGCAATTTTAGCAGAAAATTGAAATGAACCTTTCGAAGTCATACAGCAGAATGGTGACAGAGTCTAAATTGGGATTTCAACCTCTTTATATCCACGTGAATGTTTACTGGAGGACAGCATTCTGTTTGTATGAAAACATGGTTCGTTAAAGGATTCTGATGTCACAAGCTATAGACACCAAAACCTAGATAAAAGCATAAATTCATGTTTATCAAACTTACATATGATCCAGTTGGGAAGGAAAAGATCTCAATGGGCTTGAACATTGGGCTGAATTAAATCAGATGAAATGTAATAGATATAAATGTCAAGTCTTATATTTGGGTTCAAAAATCAACTTTACAGGTACAGGATGGAAGGAGGTAAGGAGCATGAGTACATATTGGTTTGTCTGAAAAAGATCTGGGCGTTTTGGACCACTGAAGGCATATTATGTTCATAGCACTAACACTTTAGGAAGGACATTGATAAGCTGAGCAATCTCCAGATGAATGGAGCTGGGTGGTGAGTAGCCTTGTCATATGATCTTCATTTGCAGGAACTGGGGATTTTTTACCCTGGAGAAAAGAATACTTAAAGGAAACATGATAGCTATCTCTAAACATTTGAAGGGCTGTCATATGGAAGAAGGATTAAACGTGCTGTGCATTTTGCCCCATGGCGTTTAAAAAAGCTCAGGAGACATAATTTCTGGATAATTAGTCATTTTTATTAATAATGCTAGCAATTTTTAATCTTTATTATCATTTTCTCCATCACTTTCTTAAGTCTAGACAATCAACAAAACAATAAATCAAGCCCTGATTCAAAGCATTTGCTGATTTTCAACATGCAAATGCTCACACTGAAAATTTAACATTTGGCTCCTTTTACTTGGTTCCAGCTGACTCCTGCTTTCTCTGCCTTTCTCCTGGCCACTCATCTACATAGGAGAACATAAGGGGTTTGGAGTTGAGAAACCAAGGCGCTGAGAACCACAGAGCCCTTGGCAGTTACTGGGTGTGTAGTCCTTATATGAATAAAGACCAGGAGTAGTCTTGTTTTTGAAAGAGATTAAAATTGGGAGGTATTTGGAAATGTTGAATGAGATTGCCCATAGAAATTCACCTCCCTACCCAAACACAATGACTGAAGTTCCCTTAAAAAAGACAGATGTGTGCCTGAAGAGATTATAATGCTAGTATTTTAATAAGTCAATGACACTCTTGAATGCCAAGGATAATCATGGTGGGCTCTCAGTTTATATGCCCTTGGAAGAGGGGTGTTCCTGAGGGTGGTCATCAACTGGTTGATTAACAATTAGTGAGAAAGTGAATATTCTGGGAAGGAAAAGATCTCAATGGGCTTGAATTAAATCAGATGAAATGTAATAGGTATAAATGCCAAGCCTTATATTTGGGCTCCAAAATCAATTTTATAGGTACTAGATGGAAGGAAGTAAGGAGCATTGAGTACATAATGGGGCTGGACCTATTCTAATGAACTTTGATTATTTCATTTACTTTTAAGTTACTCAGCCTTGGGCAATCTATTCAAAGAATTTGTTCCCACCCAGACTCAGAGTAGAAGGTTGGGTGAGGTGTGATCAAGATTGAGGAGAATTAATTCAATCTCATTATCAGTAATCAAGAAACTGAACTTTGAAATGAGAACTATAGAAAAAGGGGGAACTCTGGATCTCCCCAAATCATTGATTATTAATAATTTCTCTCACCTCAGAGGATAGAAGTAGGAGGATAGAAGTAGGAGGCTAGGTAGAACTTGGTGGAAGTTGCAAATGATCAGATTATCAGGAAGAATTTTCTTATAATCCTACCTTTGGAGCTAGCATGTTGCTTATCACTAAAGATCTTAACTAAATGATCAATATCAAGTGTATTGTAGAAGACATTTTAAAAAATAAATTTTTATTAGTATTTTCTATTTCTTGCGTTGTCATAGTATCCGATGTATTTCTCCCACCACCCCTCCCAGAGAGCCATGTCCTGTGACAAACAGTATATTTTTAGAGAAAGAAAAAAGGCAGCACAGCTGATCGATAGATTGAAAAAGTCTGTAAATATGTGCAGTATGTAACAGCTGTGGACCTCCAGGAGGGATAGTTTAGGGGGATCTTTTTATATCCATTTGAGTCCTGTTTGATCTTCCTAATTATTTACTTTTGATTTTTTGGTGTGTCATTCTTTTTATTTAAATTGTATTTACTGAGTATATTATATTCTTAGCTCTGTTTGCTTCACTATGTTTCTGTTCATATCAATCCTTTCATGTTTCTCTGTATTCATCACACACGTCATTTCTTACAGCATAGTAGTATTCCATTACATTCATGTACCACAATGTG